CTACTCTCTCTCTCTCTCTCTCTCTCTCTCTCTCTCTCTCTCTCTCTCTCTATCTATCTCTCTCTCTCTCTGGGGTACTCCTTATATATGGAGTATTTCCTTAATGTATTCAACATTTTTATACATCATTACCCTTGTTTTTGTAATACAAATTTTTTGGAAGAAGGGCAGTTTTCGTCATGAGGGGTTTAGAATAGATATTTCTATAAGAAACTAGTGCATTAGCTGTGGTGGTTAAAAAATAATTAATGCTCCATGTGGGTAATGTCACAACTCACGTAGATAATATCATTCTTTACTGTAGCTAATAAATGTTCTTCTATCAAAAATTTCTATTTGTCCTTGATTAATTACCTAAAATACCCCCCAGACAAAAAAAATTACAATATTGTAGGGCAAAGATATCACATGTACAAAAATGTTAAATATATTAAGGAAATACTCCTTGTATAGGAATAATCTAACAAAACTTATAATAAACATATATATATAACAAAAAACCAATACGATTTTATGCCAAGGAAGTCAACAACTGAGCCTATTTTCCTACTTAGGAAACTGAGAAGTTTAGGACAAATGGAAAAGGCCTCCATATGGTCTTTATTGATCTAGAGAAAGCGTATGATATAGTATCTGGAGATTTGATTTGGTTGGTATATGAAAAGAAAGGAGTCTCCAGACACTACACCGACTTGGTGAGAGATATATACGATAGAGTACTAGCTAGTGTACGAACAATTAGTGGAGAAACGAGTGAATTTTCAGTGACAATAAGTTTACATCTAGGGTCAGCATTGAGCTCATACCTCTTTGTCTAAGAGGTGGACGACTTAACTAGGCACCTACAAGATGAGGTACTGTGGTGCATGTTGTTCACATGTGACATAGTTTCGATCAATGAGACTCGAAACGGTATCAACACAAAGAACTTTAAATGGATGCTCTAGAATCTAAAGGTTTTTAAATTAGCCAGACTAAGACAGAGTATATAAAATACAACTTTAGTAATAATAAGAGTGGAGACAAGGAAGTAGTTAGGATTGAAAGCTAGAAAATACTAAAAAAAGTGCACTTTCGATATCTTGGGTCCATAATCCAGAAAAATTGAGAGATTGGGGAAGATGCGGCACATAGAATTAAAGCTGGGTGGGCGAAGTGGAGATGTGCAACAGGAATTTTATATGATCGCTGCATACCAATGAAGCTGAAGGGCAAGTTCTATAGGACAGTTGTGAGACCAGCTTTGCTCTATGGGGCTGAATGTTGGGCGGTCAAAAAAAAATACCCATAGAATGAATATTGCGAAGATGAGGATGTTGCGATGGATGAGTGACAAGACAAGAAAGGATAGAATTCGAAATGACTACTTCGAAAAAATTTAGATGTGGCACTAATAGACGATAAGATGAGAGACAATAGATATAGTCTTAGGTGGTTGGCCATGTGTGGCACGAACCCAATAGAGCACCTGTTAGGAAGTGCGAATTAATTCAAGTGGAAGGCTCAAACAAAAGGACATGGTTGGAATTAGTGAACAAAGATATGGGGACTTATGGCCTCATTGAGGGTATGACCCTTGATAAAATAAAATGGCGGACCAAGATTTGATGCATTAGAAAACACACTTGTTACAGTGCAAATTTGCCACAAAATTAAGACAAGGTAATCAAGAATCTCAAGCCTTGGTTCCCTATTTAACTACGAAAAACCCCAACCCAAGGTCGGTGCTGCTCTAAGGAAAGAAGAGGATGAAGGAGGCAAAAAACCATCGAGTTCTAGAAAGAGAAAGGGAAGTAGAGCAAGAAATAACCAGCTTTGAAGCTCTGCAAAGGAGGATACTGGAGTAAGTATCCTGTAAAAGGAATCAGGCCTGATTTCGACCTTTGTTGTAGATAACTATGGTTTAGTGGAGGTTTTGAGCCTTCTTCTTTCGGTGTTTTTTTTTTTCGGTATTCGTTGTTGGGTTTTGATGCGTAAGAAGGAGAGATTAACTGATCATCCATGAATTTGGAATTGTTAGAATTCAGTCACATGTATTCTTCTTTTTCAGATTTTTTCTCTCTACCTTTCAACTTAGGCTATGGAATATGTAAAGCTGGTGATTTCAATAGATTGACTCTTGATTACCAGATATTGTTCAATTGTTGGCCTTTAGTTCTAATAGGATGAGAGAGAAAGCAGCAAGGGTGGTGTGCTCTTTGGCTGAACATGGGAGTTGTGAAGGTCTTTGGATCCAATAGAATACTGAAGTCCATGAGAGGCTAAAAAATTCACCTTCCTTTCTCTCTCCTCTTGTCTCTTCTCCACACTGCAAACTCAAATTCCCCAAAAATGAATAAGAATATGAATTTGTGCAACTCCCACTCATTACACATGGCAATTCCCTCTCCTTTCCTAAATAAAGGCCTCACAATATTCACAAAACTTTTTTTTTGAAAGCCATTAAATTACTTGCAAACAAAACAATTTCCCAACATTATTGCAACAACAACATCTGCACCAAAAACATAAACATCAATCATAGGATCAGGAGCACTTGGCTTAGGTGAAGGCGTAAAGCTGCAGGGCACAAAGGTTGAGTAAGGGCAAAACCCGCCTTTGAAGCAAGCAGCGTTTTCCTTCTAAGGAAAATGAGGCCCAAAGACCCTAAGAGATGAGGAAAAACAAGGAGCTCCTTCTTGTTATTATTTGTCTAAACATTGAGATTGACGCCATTAATGGAGGAACCAAGCTAAGTTCTAGTTTAGATGGGAAAAAGACTGGGGTCCTCCCATGGATCTTGCGAACGTGTACTGTTGTTAGAACTTTAGTTTGAGGTATTTGTGGAGCCTTTCCTCTCTTTTGGCATAGCATCTCAATCTCCCTTGCATCTAGGAAATCTTCTCTGGTTTTCTTTTTGGGGAGAGAGGGGAGAATATCCACATAACTCTCTATCATCTCTCCCATGCAAAATATTCACCTTGTTTTTTGTTCTCCTGGATGGCTTCTGTCTCTCTCTAAACTTCTTTCTTCCCCTTTCTCCAAACAAAGAGACAGACCTGGACTTGGTCTCAACTCTCATGGTTACTCCTAACTTTTTTTTATCACAATTGTTTGAATTGCAGTTTGTGAAACCGTGCCTTCTGTTCCATCAAACATGGTGTTGTTAAAGAAAAAAATACCTGGTTTTCAATCGAATGGAGGAGAAGTTAGCCTCTGTAAAAGAGGCGATCAAGTGGTGAATGTTTCTGAGTGAGGAAAGAGGACTGGGGCTACCAGTCAGCAGTTCGAACCCTTTCTTTTTGTGTGTAATATGCATCATTTATTTACATGGATGTGTGCAGATTGCAGGGGACACACTATAACGTGTGTACGTATGTACGTATGTATTTATGTAACTATGTGCATATGTACATCCGATAATCCGATATTGAAGTCAAATCCTCAAAATGCCTAAAATATTCCGCACCAAAACTGAACACAGACCATCCATTACTTAGTCAGATCTAAGCCTCAAAGAACTCCAAACCAGTTTATTTAAAAAAAAAAAATTTATATTCTTCACCTAATTATAAAGGGCCATCTATAAAATTTGGAATCAAACAAATCCCCGTGAGGCGTTAACCACCCCATGAGGCCCTAACCAAACCATACATCAAAATGGAAGACTTTTTCTCTCTGCATTTTCTCTCTCCTCAAACACACCATTTTTTAGGGCTTCTTAGTCATTTAATTAAGAAAATGCTGACTAGAATGAAACTATATGGCGTGGAAGACTTAATGGAGAACAATTGCTCCTCAAATTTGTTTCTTTTAAGATAGCGCACATTGTAGGAAAATACTTGGTTTCTTTTAAGATGGCGCATATTGTAGGAAAATACACTAGGTAGACGAAAGCCTGATCTTTTTCTACACGTTCCAAATACCTATTTATTACATTCCTATAGGTTCCCTCTAAGGAAACATTCTTGACGAATTTATAGATGAGCCCTTCACCTAAACTACCACCATTATCTCCACCCTTAACTTGAACATCCACAACCCTCAAAAGTCTTATCACATATTTGTGAATAGACACACTTTTGAACTTGGACCTAACAGTATCTTCATTTTTTTTATTTTTTTATTTTGATAATGTGGAATCTAAGAGTCTATCACCATGTTCAAATGGATCTAAACATGCTCCAAAACTATCATAGGGAGGGTTCATTTAGAGACCTCCCAGAAATTTGATCCCTAATCCATTGAGATAAAGACTAACCTAGCTTGGCCATTATCAAAACTATCGAAGTTCCTGGATTTTGTAAAGTAAGATGACAACTCCATGAACACTTAGTGGTCAGCAAACTTAAGAAAATCAGATGACACCAGAGTCGTTGAAAGCCATGTCCTCCAAGATGGCCCTTCAGTAAAGATTGGCTATCCCAAGGAACTAACTATCAAATGCATAACCTTTGTACTTCCAAAGACATTGCCACTCCAATGTTCCCTGCACTTGGCTTCTATGTTTAAGCTGCCTACCAAACCAAGTACCATTGCATTGAGAAACTAGGGATCAAATAACCTCTCCATAAGATATACTTTCATGCCAATCCAGTGGTAGGATAGCAGCATAACTGCATCTCTTCTCTGATAGACCAGAAAGGTCACCAGTTCTACACAATACTTTGGCTTCTATGTTTAAGCTGCCTCCCAAACCAAGTACCATTGCATTGAGAAACTATGGATCAAATAACCTCTCCATAAGATATACTTTCATGCCGATCCAGTGGTAGGATAGCAGCATAACTGCATCCCTTCTCTGATAGACCAGAAAGGTCACCAGTTTTACTCAATACTTTCAAATTGGTATATATAATGTAGTAGGCAAAGGAAACTTCCCCCAAAAAAAGGTGAGAATCGCTTAATTAATTGTACAATACTATAGTTTCAAAGGATTTACCACCAAAGTCAATAGGTATAGGTATTGATGCAAAAGACTTCGAAATAAATTCTCACGGGTGTCAGTAATTTGCAAATCAAGATATTGTATATTATTGTGTGTACTAAACACGGGAATGAAAGTACAACTATTAGTCATTCTGCCACCAACTAAAAGAGTTTAGTTTTCCAATTCACTTGATTGACTAATAGATGAGGCAAGGGCAGGGCCCCATGTCTCGAGAGTTTAATTCAATTTTTCAATAAAAAAAGAAACAAATGAAATTAAATGGAAGTTGGAATAAGAGCCGACAGCTGAACAAAAAGTAATCTAAACAAAAAGTAGCCAAATAAAATACAAGTAGAACATAATAAAATAATAATAATTATTATTATTAATGAACATGACCCAAATGTTGATGCCATCAAATGAGGCCCAAGAAATGAATGCGTAACAAATTATCATTTTCCAAATTCTTTATTTCTAAACAAAAACAAGAAAGATTAGTGAAGGCAAAGGCCAAGAGTAACTGATGATGAAACTAAAACCACCTCATAAACAAGAAGATGCAATAATATATGCAATTTAGAAGTTAAAATGAAAGCCAAGAAAATTAAATGGGAAAAAGATAATGAAATCCAACCGTAATCTTCTTGAGCATCACATTTGTTGTCCTCAACTTTGAAAGTTCATGCTCCAATTGTTTTGTATAAGCCTAACAATGAGAATAAATGAACCCCTAATCAGCTCCAAATATGAAACAAAACGACATAAATAAGAAAAAAGAAAGCAATATTTCTTTATGCTGATTTCAAAATAGTACGGAAACCAACTTTTTGGATACTGGGTTCTTGATCTATGATTATGCATAGAGAAAAATGAATGATCAAAACCATCTTTTTGGATACTGGGTTCTTGATCTATGACTATGCATAGAGAAAAATGAATGATCAAAAACCTATCAACATCAAATAATTGAAAATAGTGGCCTGTTTTCAGAGCCTCACCAAATTTCAACCCGACGTCATTTTAAATTCAAGGCTCCCAGTCCAAGTTGAGACATTCATATCAAACCCAAGAAAACTATAATCCAATTTTCTGGGAACGGGCTTTCACACCAAGTTCATCCATTTGGGCTAGTTTGCGGTGTGATACCCAACAAATGACTTTATCCATTCTACCCCATCTCAGTCGCCAACCCAAATGTTGGCAAAAACCCATCAAATTCTAATACCATGGAATTAAAAAAAAAAACTGGTGATCTTGCTTTTTTTATGGATACGATTTTTAAATTAAAAATAAAGCAGTAGAAGCAACAGACAAAATGAAATTCAAACAACAAAGAGAAGAAAAGGAAGGAACCATCTAACCTGCTTCCTTGCTCGAGATCGAGCAGCAGACTCCCTATTCTTTATCATCCTTTTCTGCCTTCTCTCTGCCGCTTTATCCAACACCTCATCTGCAACATGCCACCTCTGCCTCGGTGTTTGAGTATCAGAAGAGAAACCCATCATAGGAGAAGGCACAGGCAAAGGCATTTCTCCATACCCTGCATCCATTAATGGCACGCTTCCTCCTACCCCATAAGCTCCAGAAACATGCATCGGTGCCCCATAGGAGACCATCAATCCTTGTTGTTGCTCTATTGAAGGGACATTCATAGGGTACTGTAAAAACTCAGCTGGTTGGCCATGGAGTCCCTGTCCACTTAGAGCTTGGGCCTGGTTAAACCCCATCAATGGCAATGTATTAGTTGCAGGACTCATGGCTGGTGCATTGAGGTTTTCATCGACCAGGCCAGCAGCTCTTTGGAGGAAGTCCTCTAGAGTGACAGCCACTCCTGAGTTTGAACCAGGGGCTTCATCGGAAGAAGGGCAAGCACCCTTAAAGAACTCGTCAATATTCATGGTGGTCAAGGCTTTTGAGAGGTCACCACCATGGCTCTGCAACTCCTCTATGGCAAGATTGAAGATGGAGCTCTGCCTCGCCAGAGGCTGAAACTGGTGCAATGTCGCGTCATACCCCATTCAACAAACCTCAAACCCTAAAATACAGATATTAAAACCAGGTAAAAGAATCAGCAAAACCCTAAAATTCTCAAACCATATAGAAGAACCGATTAAACGAAACAGATAATAAAGATCAATCAAAACCGTTAGAAAAAGAAAATAAAAAAAAATGAGAAGAGTGAAAAGAAATAGAAAGAGAAGATCAAACCTATCAAGAAAAGAGAGAAAAGAAGGCGATCATCAAATGGGGAAGTCGAAATCGGTTTATTTACCATGGTTAGAGGAGTAAGTCTATGGGGTCTAGGTGCTCTTTCTGAGGAGAGAGCAAACTCGAAGCAGTGGCCGGAGAAATCGGTAGATTGATAACGGTGTTAACGGAAAAAGTGGAATTCCGGCGATGAGTGAGGATTCCGGCGAGATAGGTAGAGGAAATTCCGGCGATGAAGGCGAGGGTTCTGGTATCTAAAGAGAGATGAGGGAAAAGAGCGGGAAATGTCAAAAGAATATCTCATTTGAGATTAGGCCTTTTCTTAGAGTGAGAAAAGGTATATAGCGGGGATTTGAGGCGGAATGTGGGTTTTATGGGGAATCAGTCGACCGATTCAAAACGAGCGCTCTCTCTCTCTCTCTCTCTCTAAACGGACGGGTGCTCTCTCTTCTCTCTCTAACTAAAGTTGAGCCTGTTTAGCATGAATAAAAATAATTTCTCCAAGATATATCTTCATACTTACGTACCATTGATTTTCGATCGATGATCTGAATCGGGTACCTCAAAAATTGGGTGAATCGATGGTCAAAATCTTCATTTTTTTATGAAAAAAATGGTGAATCGGTCAAAAAAATTGTATATATGAAAAAATAATAAATCGGCCAGAAACCGATCTGGATCAGCGAATTAACGATCCGAATCATTGTTGTGCTATATGAAATTGCCAATGCCCTTCTAGATTCAACCATTTTCTTATATTTACATAACCGATTCGCAAATTGTACCGGACGATTCCATGTCAAGGAGGTCTTTTAAATCACTAGGTAGTACAATAATACTTTTATACCAACTGAACTTAGTACATCCTTTCACACCGGTCGATAGCTAATTATTATAAAAATATTCTCACTTAACGAAAAAAGTTTCTCATTAAACATAAACCAAACATATACACTCTCTCCAAAATCTACACTGTACCCTCTCTCTAAACCAGACCCGATCTTGATCCAGTCATCGATGAAGCAGCAAAACCAGTTGCATCGTAAATAAGAACATCAATCTCTTCTTCCAATACTAGTTTTTTTCGTCGATCATGTGTTGATCGAAGGCACCACCCCTTTCCTCTCTCTCTCCCTCTATTTCTAATAAGTCTAAACCCATCTCTCCTCTCAAATTTAAACCGGAGAGATCGGACATCTCCAAACCACTTTCCCTCCTTAACTCCTTTCTATGAGGGTTCTCTCTCTCTTACGTGTCCTCTCTCTTTCTCTCACCGGTTTCTCACAAGTAGTGCTATTTTTCTTCCTAAAATACAGACACTACGACAGTGCTCTCTCTCTCTCTCGAACAATGCTTTTTTCGTGCACAATGTGTTCGGGATTCAAAACGACTACACCTTTTCAAATAATGACCTACTTATATCATTGGCAAATGATGAAAATGTCCCTCTTTAGTTACTCTAATAAATTAATTAGGAATTGGGTTTGGGCTCGAGTGGTTGATTCGATTCCTTCTTACTTATAATAATAATAATAATAATAAATAAATAAATAACGAAAAGAAAGAAGTCAAAATGTATAAGGCACCCGGTAGACAAGTAAAGCACAACACCTTTAAATTTTGCCGAAGTATATAATTTTTGTGTTGAAAACCTCATGACTTGAAAATCCATGTTCAAAATTTGAGATTTTTAGTAATGGTGCAAATCAAACAAATCTATACACATTTGAAAATTTTTAAAATCGACGTTCCAAAAAACTTGTCACAACAAAATCCTGATTGTCCTTCATTTTACGCTAGTAGTTGCTGCTTCTACTTTTCTAATAGGTTAATTTGGCTAAAGAACTACTCGAGTTGAACAATGACCCTCTCTCGTTTTCTTTTTCTTTCTTCTTTTTAAAACTATTGATAGTTTTTTAAACTATTGATAGTTTTTGAAAAGGGTAGTGTTTTCTTTTTCTTTCTTCTTTTTAAAACTATTGATAGTTTTTTAGACTATTGATAGTTTTTGAAAGGGGTAGTGTTGGTTTGAATGAAAACCGAGACCGATATCTAAATCACAGGTTGTGCTACCACCTTTACCTCTGACCCTCTCTTGCGAGACACAACCATACTTTGGAGGAGGTTCAACCCATTTGCCCATGGCCGATATCGTTTTAGTTAGTTAACTTTGTTTAACACAATGAGGGAAAGTTTCCCATCATTTTCAATTGGAAAAATTTTCCAATCAAATTCAGAGTATCGATGTTTACAAAGATCATTGTTTTAAAACTCAGTGATTTCTATGCAGGTTTTTTATTTGAAGTCGTATGTTACATCTGCATGATTCTTGAGTTTCAAATTTCATGATCAGGGAGCCGGATAAATTTTCACATTATCATAGGGGTTTCTAGCATAAAACTGCAATTTCTAATGGGAATTTAATGTACGATTTTACTTTTTAGCCAAAGCTTACACTTTATGCTAACTTTATGGAGGGCAATACTATTTTTATTTTTAATTTTGATTCAATTTTAAAAGATGTATATATTTAGTATTTTAATTTTTTTCGGGGATTCTAGAATTTTTTTGTATCTTTTTCATTTATGATTTATAAATGTTATTATTTATAGTACGGTTCATAGTTACTATTCACACCTTACTGTTTATGTATATTGTTCACACGTTATTTGTTCATGGGTATCGTTTACACACTACTATTTATATTGTTGGATGTCATATTTTGGGAGGCATATGCAATGAGAATGAAATTTATTTTATGATTTACAGTACTTATGAGATATTGTTTGTTTAGCTTATTTAAGGTTCTTTTAAAAAAAAAGTGGGTTTATTTCCCACCTTTTATAAGGGTGATAAGCCCAAGGTTCTTTTAATAAAATAGTGGATTTATTTCCCACCTTTTATAAGGGTGAGTAAACATTTAAGATTTTAAAATACCCCCCAAAACAATACAAAAATTTAAAAAACGCATCTATAAACCTATTATGTGAGAGTACCTGGGAACAATAACTATAAATAGGATCATGAATAATATTTGTGAATAGTAAATAAAAAAAATATAAAAAAACCCTAGAATCTCAAAAAAAACTTTAAATCCAAAAAATAAAATCTAAAACTAAAATCAAAATATATATCATTTAAAATTGATACAAATTCAAAATAAGAATAATTTTACCTCCAATTGTGCCAGCATCAAGAAAATAAATAACATCTAACAGAAAAGTGGTGAATAAGGTGGGACGACAAGATTTTTAGTATATATTTCTCAGGCAACACCAATAAATCACCCAAATATGAATGGTTCAATTTTCACCAATATCCAACAAACACTTATAATTCCATGACCTGGAAAATTCAACTCTCAATTCAAATGCCCTGACAACTACCCAAGAACACATAATCCAACTCTCAATTCAAATGCCCTGACAACTACCAAGAACACATAATCCAACTCTCAATTCAAATGCCCTGAAACCTACCCAAGATCACATATCTCTATATAAAAAGGAAATTTCTCTATGTAAGTAAATATCTCTTAGCAGTTTCATGCTCAGACCTTTACAAATAATGGTCGAAATTCATATATGACATTTCACATATAAATAAGAGTAGAAATACACACCTCATAATGGAGAATCTCCAAATTAAGGCGAAAGTAGTTGAAATAGCTTTGAGGCAACAAATGAGCACTACGAAATGCATTTCTAAATTCTTGCCTTCCTAGTAATAGGGTTTTTCCTACCAATATATCTATCTAATTTACTTTCTCAAGCTTATCCCATTTCTAGTGGTTATCTTTTAGCTTGACTTTATTATACCCAAAGACATTGAAACGGTTGTTATGACTATGGATGCCAAGCGTTAATCTTATCCATGTAACAATTTCACAGACAGTGTACTGGTAGTACAGGAATGTATTCATTCTCGAGTAATGAGTACATGAATGTATTCATTCTCGAGTTATGAAAATGATGGGGTTTGGTACAAGGTGGAAAAGCTGGATCTATGGTTGCCTTTCATCAGCACATTTCTCAGTGTTGTTCAAAGGGACTCCTACGGGTTTCTTTAAGGCCTTTAGAGGACTACGGCAAGGTGATCCACTCTCTCCTTTTCTGTATATCATTTATGCAAAACAAGGTGATCAACACTCTCCTTTTCTGTACACCATTTATGCAAAATGTTTTACTTTAATGCTGAGTAGGGTTGAGAGAAGTGGATCCTTTGCAAGTTTCAAAATAGCTAATTCTGATATTACTATATCCCATCTTCAATATGCTAATGATAAACTCATTTTTTGTGATGTGAAGGCAGTTCAGTTGGAAAATATTGCAAGGTTATTGGAAATTTGTGAAGTGATTCTGGGCATTAAGGTCAATTTTCATAAATCCTCCCTTATATGCATCAATTGTGGGGTGAATTTGGCGAAAATTTTGGCTAGTGTTGTGGGTTGTCGTGTGGGTTCTTTTCCTACTTTCTATTAGGGGCTACCTATCTCTGATTCAAAATTCCCTATTGCGGTGTAGGATAGAGTCATTGAGCCGGTGCAAGCCAAGCTTGATTTATGGAAACCAAAGTACTTATCTTTGGGAGGAAGGGTCACTTTGTTAAGATTCTGCTTGGTTAATCTTCGTGTGTATCAGTTTTCCTTTATCCAAATTCCGGCTTTGGTGGGGAAGAGGATAGAAAAAATGATGAGAGATTTTTTATGAGGATCGTTTGAAGAGCATAGGAAATTCCACTTGGTGAAATGGGATAAGGTCTGTACCCCTAAACGTGAAGGTGGTCTCGACATTCGAAATGTTAAGAAATTCAATGAGGCTCTTTTATATAAATGGTGGCGACGTAGTGTTAGTTTAAAAGGTCACCTTTGGTATCAAGTGCTGCTTGCTAAGTATGGTGTAGATAGGTATAATTTGTGGCTTCAAGGTGGCAGAGGTAAAGACATCTCCTTTATATGGAGACTCATATCCAATTGTAGGTCTATGAACTCAGGCTACTTCAGATGGAATGTTGGTAGTGGTAGACAAGTCATGTTTTAGCAACATAAATGGTTGAGAGACTCCCCCCTTAAAGTGGGTGTTGATTCATACTTACTTATTGTTGAAGCCATGGAAAAGAGAGGGCAAGCTTTGACCTGGAACATCAATCTTAGTTACAGTCGAGTTAACAATGTGATTCTTTCACAATGGTGTTCTTGAATGGAGCATTTAGACATGGTTTATATTGCACAGGAGGCAAAGGATGAGTTAGTTTGGGAGATTGAGAGTGATGGTTTGTTCTCAGTTAAATCATGTTATAACCTATTTTTCAATAAACGCTTTAAACGGTCCTGCCCTGAAATTATCCAAATCTGGAAATGGCCAATTCCCCATAAGATTCGAGTTTTTCTTTGGGTCGCGGCACAAGATAAAATTCTGACTATAAACAATCTCATGAAGAAGGAGAAAATCCTGCTAAATATCTGCTTACTTTATAAACAAGATGGTGAATCTGTATCGCATGTCTTAATACATTGTCCCTTCACCTCTGCTACTTGGTCTTGGTTACTCAATATGGTTGGAATATCTTTACCACTACCGCAAAATGTAGTAAGGATTATTTCTCAATTATCACTTCCTGTTTTGCCTAAAATTGGAAAGATTATTTGGAAGATTGCTATGGGCTTAGTTATGTAGGAAGTGTGGAAAGAAAAGAACAGAAGAACCTTTGAGGGTGTGGTGACGCCTGTTGGTAAAGTAATCCACTTGAAAAGACTATCTATTTGGTCTTCTCTTTCTGTAACTAAAGAGGGTTGGGGGATTTCGAAAGTTGATGTGATGGTTAACTTTTTTAACTTGTTCTCTCTAAGTGTGAGGAATTCTCGGCCTAATACTATTTGACATGTCCCCCCAATGGGTTGCTTAAAAATACCTTAGGCATGAAAAATACCTATGATGCTCTAAAATCTAATTTTACTACTTATTATGAAATTTGTAGCTTAAAAAAGATATAGATTTCACAAATCTATCAGTACTTGAAAATAGGTGATCGAAATTATATGTTAGACTATACACTTTTTAGAAGCTTAAAAACCTAATTTTTTTTTGCTATAATGGTCAAAGATCGAGATAACCAATTTGAAAGTCTCGTTTACTCTAAAACTACATTTTACACGAGATTTGAGCCGCAGCTTTCGTACATAGGACCTAGGCCTTATTTTGACGTTCTTCATTATTTAATAACTGGCATAAATCACTTGGACCAATTTATCCCCATCCAATTTTGCATTGATACAAAGTACTCAAAGTGTGTGAGTGCGCACTCACGTACAACGAAACCACATTTCTCTCGAAAACCTTATTTGTGGCATGACTCAAAATTTTGTATTCACACTCTATTCATCTCAATAATCAATCTCAAAAATAAAATAAAATTTAACTGGCATAGTCAAAATGAACCCCCCTCCAACACCCCTCCAACAATGAAATATAATTTGTCCATTCGGTGAATTTCAAGATCTAAGCCTTTATTAATTCAAAATCTTTTTTTTTTTTAATGTTGTTAATCTAATGAAAATAAAGTCATCCGAAAAATTTACAAAGAAAAAAAAAACTTTCTAGAGCCTAGATCTAAACATTTCACTAAAATAGACGGCCTATGTTAACTAAACTAAAACACACTTTCTATTTTGTGTTTTCAAATTTTTCTTGTGTGATTATTCATTAGAACAAAAAGAGTGTATATTTAAAATTTTGATGCCCCAATATAATTTTTGAAGATTGTTTCATTATAGTACTATACAACCATTGCATGAAATCACTCCCTTTAATTGTTTATCTATGAAAATCACAATCATTCTCACTCATGACATGATTGAATGGCTTGGGGTGAGTGACAAAATTCAAGTTGAATTTTTTTTTCGAACGATCTATTCAATGACACTGTTACAACCACTCATTTTAAAATTTAAATGACAAGAATGATTGTAACCTCTATGCAAAGAAAAATAAATATCTTTGTAGATACATCCTTATTGGATATGCAAATCGTGACCCACATTCTTGTTTTTCCTTTACCATGCTGTAAACCACCACCAATAAACAATGCAATTAAGGTATGATATAATCTCCCTCTCTCTCTCTCACAGAAAAAAGAAAAAGAAAAAGGTAATGAGCTCAAACTTTCAAAAGCTCTTCACACCAAAAAAAAGTAACAAAGTTATTGTTTTTTAATTGTATCTTCCCTCAACCCACGCACAGTTTATGGTGCTAGCAAGAAGTCCTCTGAACATTTTCTATTGCAACAAAGGCCACTCCTGAAACATTAAATCAGTTGCATTTGCAGAGCACCCTTTATTTGACAAGTGACTTTGGGTTAAAAATACAACAAAATAGAAGTGCAAATAAAAAAGAGATGAGGAAGAAAACAAAATAACTATAATTCAGCGGACTTTGGAAAACCGCAGCGGTTGAACCATGAAGGAGACAGACTATAAACTCCCATATCGGGACAGCACCATTATGACGAGTTCTATCACTGTCCATTATTTAATTGAAAGGTAACGATCTCATTACGCTTGAATAATCCATGGTTCACTGGATTATAGCAAACTTAAACAAAGTCAAAATGCCCCAACATGGTTCAAGAACCGTGAATTACGCTTAAAAGAGAAAAAAAAGCCATAGTATTGAGAGAAGAAAATATAGAATGCTATCAAGTCAAAAACAGTAAATACGAGAGAAAACCATCATCAGACAGAAAAAACATCGTCTTATACCAAAGAGAAAATCATCATCTTCAACCAAAGAGGAAAACCATCGTCTTCAACCAAAGAGAGAAAACCAACATCTTCGAACAGTGGAAAATCATAGTTACCATCGTCTTATACCAAAGAGAAAATCATCATCTTCAACCAAAGACTGAAAACAATTGTCTTCAACCAAAGAGAGAAAACCAACATCTTCAAACAGTGGAAAATCATAGTAACAAAGATAAGCTTCGACTCAAGAGCAAGGTCCAAAGAAGATCTCAAAACGACCAAATACATCCCTAATAAATAGAAAACACTGAAGTGCCCAAACCGTGAACATTAAAACACTCGAATTTCGCCATCAGATCGGTCGCCAAAGCATTTGTTGTTTCCAAAACAAGAAATCTGGACAAATATAGAAACAAAATCGCATCATTAAACAAAAGCTCATTATAGAAAAGAAGAATCTCGACCATTCCATTGGATCCGCACAAAAAACAAAAACAACAATATATTTTATCTTTAAAAAAATAAAAGAAAATAAGATAACGCCTAAAAGTAAACTGATTAGAACCAATCAAATCCCAAGTAATCTTCTAAACTAAAAGAAACACTAGAATAGCGAAGTTCCAATTGTTCTCAACCGATCACAAAATTTGATCTTTCCAAATCCACAGCAAAGAGAAGACAAAAACAAAAAGATTTTTCACACATGAAAGGGGTTTCAATTGATACCCCTCATAAGAATGAATCATAGCAACAATCCCAACATACCCAACTTTGGGGGGGAGAGAGAGAGAACAGAGGGTTCTGTAGAAATGAAATATAGCTGAAGAGTTTAGTTTGACCCTATGAGCTGTTGGACCACATTCTTATCATGGAGTTACTCGAATCCCTAAAGGGTGCTAGGGGCGGAAGGGAGGTATTAAGGTGTTTTTTCAAACAGAAAGTTGCTCAGTTTTTCAAAAATATGATCCAATCACTGCTAGGGTCAAACCCACTCTACTAATGCATGTTTCATTCTACAAGATCATACCTCAAAAAGAGAAAAGACAAGATCCAACCCTAGAATCTCTCATCACCCCAAATCCTACCCAAAATTTGGACAAAGAAACTCCCCCCATCCCTCCCAAAACAATCCAATAGTCACTGCAAACCGTGAACCTTTATAAACCTGGACACCATAGTACTTTGACTGTCCTTCCCACACAATAAGACTCCCCAATTTCCAAGTATATTGCAGCCGCATAAGCTCCCGTCACAACATTCAGAAAGACCTATTGAAATTTCTATTCCCCAACCCAAAGTCCCTCACCTTGAGACCATAATGGCCACCAACAATCTCCCTCTTAAGATGCCTTTCTGCACAAGACGATGCATACTTATTAACACATTTTCTTGAAAAGAATGGTATGTTGTATGCTTTTAAGACATTATTGACATCCGAAAGCCTCCTGACCCTCATGTCACCACATCTACTCACCTCCTCACATCTGACAAAACAGTAACTATATCCCTCGCATCACTGCTTAAGAGCAAATCTAGGTTTAAATGAAAATGGACAAATCATCTTTACAAGTCTATAAGCCCACCCAAGTAAACACTCATTCCAAGGAAAGAATGTCCTCTCAAACTTCCATGGAAGCTGTCAATATGTCCAACCCTAAAGTCCCATAAACAAATACAAGTGCTCTACACCATTTCACTCCTTAAGCTTCAAGAGAAATATGTAAACGTGATTAAGATCTAAGACACTTCTACTTTGGTACCTCCTCCCCAGTCCCCAACTCATTGTCCCTGCAATTCCGCTGAAACCAAATTTCGAATCTTCTTCATTCCGCCCATGCACTGTATCATAGATCTAATATATGATTAACCAACATTTTTCAAATTTCAAAAAAGGTCAAAAGAAATGGTTCGCTTCCCTTTGGTAAATCCCATTCACTCCACAACACTCCAACCCAATCCCATCAGAATCTAACTTTCCAAACAGAAGCCATAGTTTATAGAAAACTTCAAGATCCAAATAAAAAACCACTTAATCATGTCTCCATGAGCATGATGGGTAAGAAATCAATCAGGAGAGCAACTCATAGTTTATTTGTTAACTCAACATGAATGGCTGTAGAAAGAAACATGATTATGATTCACTTCTAAATACCACAATCCACGCTGCGGTGGTTGCATAGTACAATCAAGCATGAAATCACCTTAATCAGCAACCACTTCACGAATTTAATTAGGGGCATTGCAAATTAGTTATCTGGAGCCTGGAAAGATACGAAAAGAGAATTGTAGTCACATGAATCTCATACCTACTGACCCAAGTCATCAGGAAAAGCTAAACTTAACCATTCATACTATTCTGCCAAAACCAGGATATCATATTCTAGATATCATATTCTGCAAACAAAACGACCAATAAATAGCTATCTTCCTTGTCAAAATTCGAAACCAACAAGTCGCTACCTTGAGAAACGTATAATTGCTCATACAACTTCCATTGTTATTGTATAGCTAATTTCTTTCTGAAAGAGGTTACTTAAAAAAGACTTCTTTATAGCTGCACAAATTTAAATATTACGAAAAATTCATACAGAACTTTAATATTACAAAAAATTCATACAGAACTTTTGAAAAGTAAAACACCCAAATACACATATAACATAATATAAACACACCACAACATAAGATAATAAAAGGGAACCTATACAACACATAAGAACTTATAAACTCAATATTTCGAGTATACTCATGCATCGATGCTGGCAACTACCTAGGGGTACCAAAGCAGTAACATGGAGATCAAGGAAAGCCTTTAAGAAAGCACAAGACCCAGCTCCCATGCTAATTGGTGGTAGAGATTTCTGCTTCTGGCCTTGGTTCAAGAGATAGTGCCTTCTTGATCAATGTCAGGCAAACCCATCAAACATGATAAAAAATAAAAAAAGGTGATCCCATCAAACATGATAAAAATAAAAAAAGGTGATCCTATATAGAGTATGAGTGGAAATCATGAAATTATACGATATTCTTTTTTCTTTTTCAATAAAATGGAACCGCATGAAACCCAACAGTTTAGATGTATTTAGGAAGTATACAGGCATATCCATGCGGCAACTCTTTTCCACTGAATGCTCAACAACATCATGGAGATGAATTCAGGACAAACCTAAGAGTGGCTCAGAGCTCTTACAATGGCACCCCAGGTTCTAGGATTCGTTCCATGATTACCCAACATAGAGGAAAAAAGGGCAACTTTTCCCTGATATTTAGGAAACAAACGCTATCATGTGAGTAGTGTGGGGCTACGCCTGCTTTAAAAGATAATAATTAATAAAAGAAAACTAGGTTTCCTGTTCCCATGCATAATTCATTAATTTTTCTCATATATTAAACATTGACTGAACACACAAAACATTATGGTCTCAATCAGACAATTCTTGACTTAAACCACTTATGTTGAAAAGAGTGATATTATATATGAAAAGTTGTTGTGGTCACACCACGGAATCACGTACTTTGTAGACAAACATATTGTTATGTCAAGCATCAAAGAATGGTGCCGTAACACGAAATACAAGTCCGTATTCATAAATAAACTTAAATAAATCATCATTACCAGAGCCTTTTTCCAACTATTTGGGGTCTCTACATGAATCCTGGTCCGCCATTATGCTCTATCAAGGGCCATAAGTCCCCATATCTTTTCTCACTACTTCCAACTATACCCTTTTGGGCCTACCTCTTGCTCTTTTTTAGCCTTCCACTTGAATCAACTCGCACCTCCTAAAGTGTCGTACTGGATATGTGTTGCACATGGCCAACCCACCTAAGTCTACTTTCCCTAATCTTATCGCCTATTGGAGCAACACCCAAATTCTTTCGAATATATTTATTTTAAATTCTATCCCTTCGTGTCTTGCCACTCATCCATCTTAACATCCTCATCTTAGATAAAATCGTCCTAGGGGTATGGTCCTTCTTCTCTGCCCCATAAAGTAAAGTTGGTCTCACATCTACCTATAGCAACTTCCACTTCAGCTTCATTGGTATGCGGCGATCATATAAAACTCCAGTTGCACATCTCCACTTCGCCCACCCAACTCTAATTCTATGTACGACATCTTTCTCAATCTCTCCATTTTTCTAAATTATCGATCCAAGATATTGAAAGTGTGCTCTTTAAATAAACTTAAATAAATAATTCCCAAAACATATGAGTAGTCGTCCAAAATCTTGATACTCACATAATGTAAAACTCAATAAACTGCATATCTCATTTTTCAAAGTGAGGATCAAAGTCACCTTGAAAGAAAATGGATGAGGATCAAAGTCACCTTGAAAGAAAATGGAAACCTCAATCAGGTCCATAAACAGCAAAACTTTACAGAACTCACCCCTAAGAGTGGACCGCATCTTCTTACCAGCAACATACCATGAACACTTTCTTCATGCTAATAATGGTACCTTTGGACCACCAGTTAAATTCTCATTCCTACACTTGAGAACCACAAGATCCAGTGCCTCTCATTACAATGAAGAACACAACATCAGAAAATAGAAAGGTTTTGAAAGCTATAATATTCTGTTCCACCCACATCCCATGTTCAACGATCCCTGCTCATTGGCCTTACCATCCATGACATTGACATCTTCCTCATGATACCTCACTCGGTATTTAGTAAAACCATGCCCATGCCAAGCAAAACATGTTACATCATTGCAGAAACATCACCCTTTGTTCTTAAAGTCCAATCTAACACCTTCATGAAAGCATCTTCTTATGCTAAAAAATAAGAAGCTTGCAAAAAAACCACCCCAAGAGACACCGACATTCCTTCCTGATGGCCATTGGCCTCTTAATCACCCAGAGGACAGTGGCAACAATACTCGATCAAGGATAGATAAAGGTTAAGACTGTCATCTCACAAATACCGATCATTAGACTAAAACAATCTCTGCTCAAAAGAAAGATAAAAAAGTAAAAAAGTTCTAGCAATGCTTACAGTCACATCCAACAAAATAAACAGTTTAAATCTCAGTTGGATAGCCAAATGAAACCAAATTAAATGAAGAATATCCTTCCAAAACAAGTATTATCGCTACAATCACAACATTACCTTTTACAGCATGATCCATGGATTTTTAAATTAATCATTGAGCATTGTATCAGGAAGAATTTAGTAGCTAATTCAACAAGACAAGGAAACCATACTAAAACTAATCAACAGGGAAAGAAACACCAAAAACAATACTAAAAGCAGCATATCAATACAATTAAAAAAACCATGAAAACAAATTACTAATGAGAATACAGCAAATCATATTTTCACAACATGATGGGCACATTTTAAACTTAGAGTGCATGAATCAAAATAATTAATAACTAATTACCTGAAAAGATGTACCAAAACCAAAACTAATCTATGGTAATAGATATAGCAATATCAAAACTATCATAACAAACTACAATACTGGACCACATATCATAAAAACTAAACTAACCACTCATCATCTATCCTAAGCAAGAAACAAACAAATTTACATAATTCAAGTGCATTACCTAATGTGCAACATAAGGAGGCCCTCCATTACCCGAAAAGATGTCCCAAAACCAAAACTAATCTATGGTAATAGATATCACAATATCAAAACTATCATAACAAAACTACAATACTAGACCACATATCATAAAAACTAAACTAACCACTCATCATCTATCCTAAGCAAGAAACAAACAAATTTACGTAATTCAAGTGCATTACCTAATGTGCAACATAAGGAGGCCCTCCATTCCCCAAATTCCCAACTCCTTGTTGTTGTGGCCTATTTCCACCCATTTGAGCACTACCCTGATAAGCGCCCATAGCAACCTGTGGAGCAAAACCCACTATACCAGCCCCTTGAGGCTGGTAAGCCACACCTAAGCCTTGAAAATTACCGTACCCACTCGCCAAATTCCCAAAATTCCCACCCAACCCCAAACTTTGAGCAACCCCATTTTGCCCCATTGCCAGGGCAGGGTTCAAAACTGCCCCAAAAGCTGCAGCCATTGGGTTCAGGCCCACAAAGGCTGGGCCCAGGCCCGGTGTAAGACCATTAACAAGCAGGCCTTGTCCTGGAGCCTGGCCTATTAGGGCAGGGGCATTAGACTGAACACTCTCACCTGGGCCCAAGCCCAACCCCATGGGCCCATTCTTTTGCTTGTTAGTGTTATCAGTAGCCCTCTGGCAATAAAGCTTATGGCCTTCGAAGATCTTGTTGGGTTCTGCTAAGGCCCGCTTGGCAGATTCGGAGGATTTGTACACAAAAAGAGCAAAACCTTTTGCTTTTCCTGTGTTTCTATCAAACCCTAATGGCCCTTCTTCGATTTCACCATACTTTGAGAAGAACGTATGGATCTTTTCTGGTGCTATATCTGAGAGCACATTTCCTACATAGATCTTTCGAGCTAGGTTTTCATTTGAAGTTGGATTTTGGGTCTTTTTAGCTAGGGTTTCAGTGGGACCAGAAGAGGCGAATTGGCAAGCAGTCATTCTTCCATCAATCTTCTTTTGAGGTGAGATGAGGGCCTTTTTCGCAGAATGTCGGTGTTTGAATAGAATAAAGCCGTAGCCCTTCGATTTTCCAGTCGATTTATCAGACACTACATTGCAGTCTTCGATCTCACCATAACTGGAGAAGGTAGAAGTTAGTGTTTCAGAGGTGGTGTCCCAACCTAAACCATGGACAAAAAGCTTGCGATGAGATGGGTCCCTGTCTGCAAGGCTGCGAGCTTCATTGAGGACATTGGGCTCTAAGGAAATGGCAGTCTTGATGAGTTCTACGAGCTGGTCTTTGGTGAATGGTTCTAAGAGTTCGTCGATGTCTTCTTCTTCTCCTTCTTCTATGATCGAGTTACGGTGATGAGGTGCTTCTGGTTCTGCTTCTTCTTCGGAGTCTGAGCTGCTTGGGTTGTGGTCCTGGTCTGCCTTGCGTTTCTGGCCCATCGTTTATGAAAGAGAAGGCGATGGAGAGAGGAGGAGAGATATGGAAAAGAAGCGAGACGGAAAATGGAGTCGGTTTTAGGTTTTCAGTTTCTGAGAAAATAGAGAGAGAGAGAGAGGAGGAGAGGAGGAGAGGGAGAGGGAGAGTGAAATTCAGATAAAATTTTCTATAAGCTCTGTAGGTTCATACTGTGTATGTACTCCCTCACTCCAAAAATAATGACTTTTCTAATTTAAAATTGTGGGAACCACGTAAAATTGCGAGATTGATTATTTAAAAAAAAAAAATGAGTTTCACAACACTTAGATCTAGTTAGTACACATAGAGTTTATTTTGAAAATTCTTTTTACTCAAATTAGTTTAGAAAAAATTGTCTCACGTAGGCTGGACCACATGCTGCCTATGCGGTCCAAAAAAATATAAAGCATTATCTTAAATATGAATACAAAGCACGTGTTTGATTTAAAAACAATAGAAACTAACCGTCCAAAGTTTTCTTACTATAATTATTATTTTTAATTTTTTAAATTTACTTATTTTTTCATATTCATGATATCCATATAAGAGATTACATGTTCTTAAAAATTAAATACTAAAATCTATATCAAAAATAAATTTATTAATAAGCTTGTATTTCTACATATGCAGGCTTGGCCGTATAGAAATCGGGTCCATTGGTTTATAGGTTGCACATATTACATCCTCAAATTTGACATCCAAACAATATATCTAGCATACATTTCTCCCGAGTTTACTTCCGCGAACTAGGAAATCTTTTAGGTTTATTGCTGTCGGACTTAAATAGTTTACATCTGAAATGATCCTCTGCTCCCGCATGATCACAAAAGTTTTTTGATCCTGCAAGTCGTCCAAATTTAAGTGATATCCGGACCAACCTCGAGTTAAAACACACCCATTTAAATAAAAAAATTCGAAAAATAACTCAAAATCCAAATTTCCTTGAAGATTTTGAAAAATAAACAAATATAGTGATTGTTAAGTGGATCTCGGAATTCCAGGTCCAAAAAAGGGGTCTTCTCAAGTACCATTTTTACCTGTGCGAGTAATGGATGGTATGTGCTCCTATAGAAGCTTAGTATTCGCATTAATTTTAGGGTTCGTATAGATCTCTGATTTTTCATATTATTTTATTGTAGACTCTCTTTCTGTTTTTCTTTCAAGTAGCATAAGGAAACTCTTCAAGATTTCACCGTACCCCCCAAATCTCTTATCTCCCTCTTTTATTGACTTTTGACTATAAAAATTTAACTCAAACAAATCTTTTTATACCATTTCAACCCAAAAACTTTTTGACCATCTTTTTCTCTTTCCACCCATTAAAAACGTTTTTGAGTTAAAATAGTATAAAAATATTTGTTAGGGCTAATTTTTATAGTAAAAAAGTCAATAAAATAGGGAAATAAGATATGAGAAGGTACGGTAAAATATTTAAAGATTTCCTTATGCTGCTTGAAAGAAAAATGGAAGCAGAGTCTATCATGAAATAACATGATGAATTAGGGACCTATACGAAATTTTCCTTTAATTTTAGGGATTGTATACCATGAGACCATTTAACTTTGATACAAGGTAGTCATAATTCTTTACAACCATTTGATGTGAAAGTTGAGACCTTGAATGTGTCATGAAGTTTGAGAAAATTTATTTTGAAGTTTGAGCTTGGTCAATGGAATAATTGCAGCCACTCAATTTCACATCCAATGGGCACGATTATTGCGACCACCTTGTATTAAAAGTAAATGGCATCATTCTATACTTTCTCTTAATTTTATATTTACTCTTAAGTCCCACTTTTTGAAAGTACACAATGTGTTTTCATTTTGTTTTCTCTGCTTAGTAGTTTAATTGGAAATTTAGGCATCCACATATCTCATCGTCATGCATAAGGATAAAATTATATAAACAGAAAAGAGTAAAATATTCAAATTACACTAGAAGTTGCAAGGGTATTTTGATCTTTTGTATCTCTCCAATTATTTGTTAAATTTTTAGATATGTGTGATGGTGAGAGACATGAAAATCCCAAATTTGAGCTTGCTCTAATATATAAAAAAATAAATTTCAAATATAATGTGTGCTCTCAAAAAGTCGGATTAGATCGTAATATTTATTCATATCTTGCTTTGTGTGAGTTTATTTGTGCACTGTAGAGAAAGAGAGAGAGAGCCTAGTAGGTTAGCAGTGGCAATGGGCTGGGTGCCCCGACCTAGGACCAAACAACCCGACCCTAAAATACTAGAACCCAGGCTACAAAATGTGGCCAAAGGGCTAGGCTAGGACTGGGCCACCATTGTCAAAAGGCTGGGCCGAGGCCTATGCTATGACAATATTGGCCCAGTTCCACCATCCCTGGCTTTATTTTTATTTTATTTCTTAAATTTTATTTGGCCTAGCTCTGCCTAATGTGTTTAAAATGCATTGACTCTTGCATATTCATCAACGAAAATCCCGAATGCGTTTATAAGGCGGTGAATCATGCAACTCAGGTAGGAACGTCGTTGATGCAAGTAAGGATCTCATTGGCTTATGATAGGCTAGAACGATGGCCTAACCGCGTTGACATCAAAATGTAGAAAATCATCTTCATTATGGAAAACGATGGAACCCACATAGTTGATGACATTGCTAACTTCGTTGCTTTCTTATAGCCCAAGATGACTGCCAATCGCCTGACATCGGAATGCGAGAAACTGAATCAAACAATATCACCATCATTAACGTAAACGATGGTGTCAACGTCATTAATCCACCTGAAAATTTCCAATTGGCCGGAACCACCACCCAAAACCGAGTTCCCAAATGGACAGTTGACGACATTAAGGTTTTACCGAATATCCCAATATCCTCAACACTATTTCAAAGCTCGTTCAATTCTCAAAAAGGCCCCTCAACAGAGACCTCGACATCGGTAACGAAATTGCCATATTTGTGGCATCTTCATCATGACACCACCCAAAATCATGCTGGCCGTAACATCAAGGGAAGTGTGTTACACGACCTATAATGGTTACAAGCAAACGAGATGGTAATTTCATTGATGATAGTGACAACAACAATGGCCATCAACAGCCGATTCGATCTCTAATTTCAATGATGATTAGATGTGACACTTGTCTATATATTGAAGCTTGCCCCACCCGGTTTAAGGAGATGACTTTTGACACCAATATTCTGATATTTAGGAATTTTGAGGGTCCTCGAAAACCTCACCCAAGTTTAGCCCTTCCGAATCCAAAACCCGGGTCCCGACCTGAACCTAACCTTGTCTAAATCAAACCTTCGACTCCCTTTCTAAAAGACTAATCCAGATAACCCACATTCGCTCCAATCAGTGAATCTCATAAGAACTAGAAAAGCTACGCTCATATTGATCCTGAACCGGCACCGTCTTTGGGCGTCGTGCCTAGGGATCCGACCTCAAGTATGTTTTCTTTTCGTTTATTTCCCTCGTTCATTTATTTAAATTTCTAACTCTAATTTGAACCCTTTCCAAAATCTCTCCCTACCTTGGGCTCGACTTCTAAATTTTTTGTCCAGGTTCGGCCGGTCGTTTGAGCTATGGCGAGTTTGTTGGCTTGACCTTCACTCAGGCTGCAATTTGACAGGACCCATCCTCTATCATTCTAATCTTCGAAGAATTTAAGCTTGAAAAACAGGCAGGCACCACAGTTCTAGCCGAATTTTTCGAGTATAAACAATATTATATTTTATAATATTATATAATTAAGAGAAAAGTTTATATAAGGTTGCAACCTTAAAATGTAGAATTAGAGATGCACCTTAAAAATCCAATTGGAAAAAGTTATTTTAATGTTAGAGAGACCCTCTAACTGAT